AATTGAGTATCGGTGCCGCAAAGCGCCGTCGACGTGTTTCATCGATGAGAATTGACAATAAAGTTGGGTACAGAAATAGAAGTATAATTGATGTAGGTTTAATTGTTCCATATATTGATTTATACGACGGAAATGTTATTCGAGATCCAATACCTACGCACCATTTGTCTCAGAACGCAGAACTTTACGGCGAATATTTTAGAGAGGTAGTCCTCTAAAAGGACAATTTTAGAATTTATCTTTTACATTTATACCTGGTGATATAACAATAGTAAGACTCTGTTATTATATCTTATTGTTTTTGTTATAGACCTACATTCCTCAGCGAATTGCCAGTCATCTCGAATAATTGTCATACGCCTATTTTATCGTTCCGTACGTGCTTCTCGGCGCAAACAAAATTTAAAGCTCTCCCTTCCGCCTAAATCAATAGTAATTGATGAGGGGCAAGATTTTAGCGTACTTTGGGGATTAGGTTAGGCCGTCAGACCCGGCGCGTGCAACTTTAAGATTTGTTGTCGGACAGGGAATAAGTTAAGAGGGTTAGAAGAGTTATATTTCGTTTCCCTGATTTGCTTTGCGGCACCTGTTTTGGGGCCGGGATATTTTAAAAATAGGGAAATAGACCAGGAAAGGAGACATTTTGACACTTATTAATTACTGGAGGTGACTTTATTGTTGGAAAGTCTTGGGAATTATAATACGAAATGCGTCTCATCAAATGGGTCATGAAAAAAGCATAGCGTCATTGTTTTTATCAACAAATATTTATTGATAAAAAACAACGACGCTATACTTTTTTCATGACCCATTTTATGAGACGCCTCTTGTATTATCATTCCCAAAGCTTTCCAACAATAAAATCACGCCCAGTAATTTTTACTAGTTCTCCATGATTTTTCACCTTTATTTCTTGGTCTAAAAGTCGTCTGGATAGATGAATGGTATTACCCATTGAACGGGCGGTGATTAAGGAAATGTGGTTCGTGATACAGTCTCATTTTTGTTCGAAGCTTTAGTAGAAAATCTGTAGGTGTATTATTTTACGACTTCATTTCCCCCATATTTTACCCTGTGAACATAAACCAACAACATATGTACAACACTCTTTTCTTATTCAAATATTAACTTTCGTGTCGGTTTCGCAAGGCACAAACAATTGCATCATCGCTATTTCGTAATGCAACAAATATGCCCGCTTATTGTGATTGAATTAATAACGAGTAGTTTCGGCAGTATACAGGTTGTTTTGATTTTTTCTTGAATGTGAATTACGATTCCTTATATAACATTCATTGACGCTCGTGAAATTCGACCTTCGCTGTTAAAAATGCCAGTTGTTATTTAAAGAGCTTTACCATTTTACCTTTTTGGAGCACTTAACTGCTATATGTATATTGTTTATTAACGTTACAGTACTTCTAACTTTTATGGGTAGGTACTCTACAAGACCGTTGTAGCCTAACTAAACAACGATAAAGGCAATGACGTAGTTTCTTTGCCATCGACATATTTTGCCTCAGAGAATATCCCGTCCCTTCGAATAGTTTTATTGCTACCCCATTAACGCCAGGTAATTTTTCTTCAAACTTCCAGATTAGTATCTTCTAATGTTTTGTTCCACTAGACGAAATTCTGTGGCAGAATTGTGAGCTGTTAAAAATTAGTGAATATTGAGAAGACATTCCATTTAAAGCATAAAAAAATTACGTGAGTTCAGAAAGCATTCAAGTTGGTCTTCCTTTAGAACTTTGTTGTTATGGGGCTAATTTGTTCTAAAGGTAAAGAGAAGTAAGTATGAATTCATCGGATATTAATTTCCTGTGGTGCCTCTTTTCAAGTTTTATTAAAAAATGTTTCCTCAGTTGCGTAAATCAAAGAAATCTCACGTACTAATAGTACATGCCTTGCAGACACCGCAAAACTTTTAAAGCGACACTTTTCAGCGCGCTCGGCGACTGCATGCAAGTCGTGGGACCGATACACATTTCAACAGCTATTCCAAGGAGGAACAAACAACAATAATAGACGTAATTTCTTCCGCAAATTTCCATTGTAAACGCTACGTTAACTAGTACGTACCAGGAAGGCCAGTGGCTAGAAAACGTTCGAGGTACATTCACGCTGTTCGTTAAAAAGTTTTCTAATTTTTTCAAATCCTACGCTAATTTATGCTTAGTGTTTATCGTCTTGGGTCTTCCTGGACGCTGTTGTTGCCCTCAGCATAATAATACGCCATCTCCTCTACCGCGCATCAACATTTTTCAAGAGACCCTTGAACACTTTACGCGGAAATTGTGTCCATTTGACAGAATTAGCAGTGGCGTAGAGAATATTAAAAGAAATGTCGCATTGCAACCGCCTCTACGCCACCGTTATCCGTAAAATATTAAGTAGTAGTTATTGTTGCATTTCCGTGTGTATGCTGTGAGTTGTTCGAAGTTTTTGGTTTTCCCAGATGAAATGTATTGGGGGCGATAATTCACGCGAAGACGCCGACACACCTCTGCGACGATATTGACCCCGGCGGATCCTGCTGCCGAGAGTGGAACAATAGAAACGAGCTGGCGCCGCGGGTGGTACTCGGTGCACATTCTGTTTCTGTTCAATTACAACCTCGGGCAACGTGGAATTTCGCTCGCGGAGGTCGTGAATCGCCCCCACGCCGCCGCCGCCGCTGCAACTGATAGAAACCCAGTAGGGTGGTCGGAATAGACTGTTTCAGTGTGACGTCACATATTTAGACAACGCGCAACACACTGTCATTGTACAGACCGAATCTGACCCTAGTGTACTATTTACATACAGGGTGGACCATTGAAAGTAAAATAACTCTTTTGTGATTCATAATACAGAAAAAAAAGTTTGTATAAAAGTTGTACAGAATCAAAAAACCTAAAGGACAAAATTAGTTTGAAACACACAGGGCGATAAGTAGAAACGGGACACGCCAAATATTAAATTTTTTAAATGGAACACCCTGTATATTTTTTAACATACGGATTTCCGAGAAAATTCTATAGATGGCAATATAAACAGTTTATCATTTTAATCCGGGGTTGCCAAGTTATGTCGAAAATTCTTCGAATTTTGGAAAAAACATGACCTCGAAAAAGTTGTATTAACTTTCAACTACTAACACTTGGAGCAAAAATATTTGACAGAGTTATAGGCAAAGGTTAGGCAAAGACTCCTATTTTAGCTAATATCGATGTTTTATACAGGGCATTTTTTATAATACGATCATTTTAAGAAAGTTCAAACTTGATTTTCTAAAATTTTTCAAACGGAACACCCTGTATTTTATTGTTCTATTTTATTCACGTATCAGTCCACTTCAACTTTTATTAAGTATGTTCTACACCTAAACTTGTTGGTTTTTAAGATATAGCAACTTTTCTGGAAAAACCTACTTTTTGTTATTTTCGGTCGCACGAAACGGCTTGTCGACGAACTGTCACATTGTGTCAACTTGTCAGTTCACAGTTCATTCCATCTTGAGTTAATTTTATTAGTTAATATTTATATGTGGTATTCTATAAAATAATAAAACTTAAGTTTTTTGAGAAATGTTATATCTTAATAACTAACAGTTTTAGATATAGAGCATGCTTAATAAAAGTTGAAGTGGACCGATATGTGAATAAAATAGAACAATAAAATACAGGGTGTTCCATTTGAAAAATTTTAGAAAATCAAGTTTAAACTTTCTGAAAATGATCGTATTATAGAAAATGCCCTGTATAAAATATCGATAGTAGCTAATACAGGAGCCTTTGTCTAACATTTGCCTATAACTCTGTTTAATTATTATGTTCCAAGTGTTAGTAGCTGAAAGTTAATACAACTTCTTCGAGTTCATGTTTTTCCAAAATTCGAAGAATTTTCTACATAACTTGACAACCCCGCACTAAAATGATATAAACTGTTTATATTGCCATTTATAGAATTTTCTCGGAAAACCATCTGTTTAAAAATATACAGGGTGTTCCATTTAAAAAATTTAATATTTGGCGTGTCCCGTTTTTACGCATCGCCCTGTGTGTTTGAATTTAATTTTATACTTTAGGTTTCTTGATTCTGTATAGCTTTTATATAAATTTTTTTCTGTATTATATGATGTGTCAGTGTGTTTATCGAGTGTATTTTTCTTCAGTTGGTTTATTATAGACGTACTCTTAACCATAACCAAACTTTCTTTGAATTTTATATAAATTCTATAATTCTATTAGTTTGTCACTTGGTGTCTGAAACTTCTTAAATATTCCTAATATTGCCAGAATATCGCTATATTTAAGGAGAGAAGCCATTTTTTGGCACTTATGTCCAAAGTACATATGGTCGAAAATCGATCTAGTAAAATTATTGAGAAATTCTTCATGAAAATGCGCACTATGGGTTTGTTTATTATTTGGCGTATGTGACGTCACTACAAATAGGTCTATTGGGAATCTGGTTGAACAGCAGGCGAGACACCACAATGTAGTTGTTACAACTAGCTTTTATTATTATTAGTTCAGTGCTTTAATGGAAATATATCCATGAAAAATGTCGTTCAAGTGTTATTCACTTATTTTTTTCATGGAAATTCACAAAAGCAGCTCTAATTTAGCACAATTCAGCACAATCACCTTTTTTAACTTCCCAAAAAGTGGGGGGTAACTTCACAGTCGATTTTTCTGTATTTTTCGGAAAATCTCGAAAGATATGACGTTTTTCACCACATAATGTAGCACAATTCAGCACAGTCGTTTGTTTAACAGTGGGGGGGTTAATTTCACTTTTTTTTTCTGGTCATAGCGGAATCTAGCATAACCATTCTTTCAGCGGCATAAAATAGAACAAAATTAGAACTTTTTTTAACTTCCTCAAACAGCACATAGTTAGCACAATCCAGCACAATCATTTTTTCATCAGCACCTGTTTCATTTATCTAAGATCTCGGCGAATTTTAGGTATTAACTTCCACCTCAGGTAAATAAAGGTCTGTCCTGTTGCAGGTAGCATGTCGGGCGTTAGCCTGGCGGGGACGGCTATCGGCGTCGGCGGCGCCGCCACCACGGGAGCGGTGGAGCTCTGCGACAGCGGCGGCCGCTCCCTGAAGCTCCAGACGGACGCGCCGCACCTGGTGAGCATGGGCGGCGACAGGCTAAGCACTTCCGTCACTCTTCATCCCATTCCACAAGGTAAGAAGTACTAGTAGTCACAAACGTCGATTCGTGTGGAGGAAGGGCCGATGTATAATTATTCCGCTAACTTGAAAAACTGGAAAAAATAGAACGTTAGTTAAAAATGTATAAAAATAGTTCAATAAGGAATTCTTCAAATGTTTGGGCATCGAGTTTTATTAATGTTTCCAATTTTTTGTTTCGAAAAAAAATTCCAATTTTCCGGCTAAGTAGCACGAGTTGTGTTGTAAGCAATTTTTTTTCACCATCATTACCGGGAAATGCTAATATCTACACCTGAAACGGTGTCTATCATTTTCGTGTTACCGACGTTATTTTATTGACGTAAAAAAAGTTATCGCGCGTAAAAGTGATAACCTGTCAAAGCAAGTAGGTGGTATTATTACCTCATGTCCTTGCAACGTAATAACTTTGTTGATTGCACAGAAATATTTGTTTTAGTTGTGTACTGAATTATTAATTGTCCTCGTTTTAAAAAGTGTAGAAAAGTTATGTTTTGCATTTAATAAATTGGCCAAAAAATTGGAGACGATAGAGACTGGTCCCCATTTATTGACATATTTCGCTGGCTTTTAATATTTATTCGATCGTACAAATTTTAATTATATTACTATTTTTCGTTGTACTATTTTGGTACATATTATATAGTTTTGGCACAATTTTTAAACTATACTGTTCCAATATGTACTGTGTTTAAATTATGAGGAGTTCTAATAATATTTACAGTTCGAGTTTACAGTCGTTATCTGTAATTACTGTGACTACAATTTTTTTGTGGTATTTTCTGACCTCCACTCGACTCGAAGTTCTAGTATAATATATATCTGTTCGTACGCACAAACAAACAAGGACAGACCCGTATTTTTTTCGACTGCTGTTTTGTTGAAGGGCCTTGTGGGTCGAGAATAACGTTTCCCACCAGAGATGTTTTTCTAACCCTCGGGCTGGTTAAGATCTGACGGCTGAAGCATTTTTTAAAACTATTAGACTAGCCGGTATCTGTTTTGGTTTGGGTGAATCGTATATCCACGGAGATTTTTGGCTTTTTGGCTTTCAAATATCACTAGAAATGAAAATTTTTCTATGCGCATAAAAAAAAACGTGGGCTTAACTTTTGGCGGCACAATATGTTAAAAAAATTCGGAAAATGTCATATTTTTCTTCCTATTTAATTATGTATCTTTTCAAGAGTTGTTTTTAGGCGAAAATGGAAGAGGAAAAAAATTTTTGTAATTAAATTTTACAAAATATGACTAGTTACAAATCGAATGAATCATGATTATTATTGTAAAAATCTAAAAAATTGCCAAAAGTGGGGATAAAAAACATTACTTTTTAAGAAATTTCTTTGGGGTCTTTAGGTTGGGTATAGGACCTTCATGAAAATTTGATGTTATGTAGAATCATCACACCAAATTTCATCAAAATCGGTTGTATAGATTTTGCATAATAATTTTGCAATCCAGATTTTGAAAAAAGAAATTGCAAATTTTCAAAATTTTGCACAGCAAAAACCAAGGCCCTTAGATACTTGAAACTTTAATAACATATAGAAGGGCTCTCAAGTTTTCAAAGGCTTTTTGAAATATTCGAATCCGTCAATTAGGAGTGCTCTGGCGCTTGTTTAAACATTGGTCGAATTTTTGTACTTATAAACAATTAGAATAACTTTGTGAATATTCAACCAAATCAAATTTTTTTAAATAGGTTTTAAAAGTTCTTGGAAAGACGCTTCTTTAAAAAAGCAGATCGATGGGTCAATTAGTTACGTAGTTATAGCCGATCAAAGTTAACCCTCATTTACACTAAATATACTGGGATATCCGGGCTAATTTTTCGAAAAATACCTTTGGTATTCCCAGTACTTATCAGATCTAAGTTTGCAATACTTTTCTTCATTGGCAACCTACTTTAAACGCGTTTAAAGTTATTTATGCAAGCGAGAAATTCAAGAAAATCGTACAGGTGGTGGTGGTGGGTAAAGTAGAGAGCGCGACCGCTTCGGCCTGCTCGAAATTGAATCGGCTAGTTCAAAATTTCGATGCGCTTAAAATTTGTAATATCAGTTTCTAGAGGTCCGATTTTGATGTTTTTTTTTCTAGATCGATGTCTCGCGATTAAAAAAAAAACAATTATCGTATTTTCCAATGGCTATCGTTAATAATTATTAGTCTTTTAACAGTCCGATAATTATTTATCTTTAAGCTTCCTTTAACTATCAACTTTATTTTTTATTGTATCAAAGGTAAGTGCATAAACTTATATACTGTTTATCAAAGATCAAAAACAAATTTATTTAAATATTCTAAAATTGTTTAAACAATTATTTTCAAAATATGTCGGAAAATTAATTATTTAATTAATTATTCATTTAATCATCATTTCTTTTGTGATTAAAGTATAATTCAAATATTATTTACTGTTTAAAATATAAGCAAATGAGAAATTAACTCATTATATTACAAAAATAGACCCCAAAAAAATTTCCTGTAAAAGTAATGTTTTTAATCCCATTTTTGACGATTTTTTCGATTTTTACAGTAATAATCATTATTCATTCGATTTGTAACTAGACATATTTTGTAAAATTTAATTACAAACATTTTTTTCCTCTTCCGTTTTCGCCTAAAATCAACCCTTGAAAAGATACATAATTAAATAGGGAGAAAAATATGACATTTTTCGAATTTTTTAAACATATTGTGCGCCAAAAGTTAAGCCCAGGTTTTTTTATGCGCACAGAAAAATCTTCTAGTGATATTTGAAAGCCAAAAATCTCCGTGGATATACGATTCATCCAAAGATGGACTCTTTGAAACAGATACCGTTTGGACTATATGTATTTTGCTGGTTCGTTTAATACCTGTCAGTGGCGTAGTTTGGGGAATTTAGAGAGTCGTAATTCAATAAAAAAAAAACGTGGCTTTAGTGTTGAAATTAATGTTGCACTAATTAATGTTGTTATTTATTTGTTTAAGCAAAGACATATCGTTATTTTGAATAACTGTATTTATATTTTAATCATAAAAATAGTTTTTATTCTAAAAACAGCGAGACACGTCAAAATAATAACATTAGTATGTTCAAAAACAGAATAGAGATCAAAACAGACGAATCAAAACATTGGTGTTGGTACAATGAAGAAATTATACGGGGTAATTCGAAAATGAGCCGCTATATGTTCATTTATGATTTACCCTGTATATTAATTCCACACCACAGATTTGGTTTCATCTTTTTTGAGTCGGTAACAATTTAGATCTATAAACGCAACTGGTTACACAACTTATTGATATAGATTGCACCCAATTAAAAGCTTAACTGTAAAAAAATGATAATTACAGGGTGACTCATGCCGCAGTGACAGTTACTTCCTCTCCACGTCAATATAAACAAGATACATTCGATTTATATTTAGAACCGCGTATTTATTTATAAACAACGTGTCCGCCAAGGAATCAAACAAACTCGTAAAATTTTCGTCGTGCGGTTTGGGGAGAAAGTTACGGTGGAAAAAATCCGGCTTCGTGATTCAACAGAACAAATAGGGGCCTAGGTATGAGTAACCCGCATGGTTGTTTATTATAACCTCTATAATAAACTGACTCGAACCGGTAACTGAATAAACTACTTACAAGACCACTTGAGTAGTGCGCGAGTAGTTATGCATTTTGGAGGGTCATTACTTATGATTGGTTTTTTAAGTCCCGTAGAGGATGGCGCGTTGAAAGGTTGGCTACGGGGTGCGTTTGAGAAGTAGAAAATACCCCTTGTCTTACGTTTAATAGTGTTACACGTGAACTTAGAATGACACGAGTTTTAATATCGCATATCGCACTAAATTAAATGAGGATCTATAATAATGTACTTGGTCTACAAGTAGGAAACAGTTCGAGTTGAAAAAGGTGTTAACGTAAAGAAAATATTGACTGTAGATCTAGAGCCGGTTCTGCAGAAACAGCAAATAGTGTACGTATGTAAATAATTACGACCAGTTGTATAATTCTTGTTTATCACACCACGAAGTACGTACTTTGGTACTAATTCCTATACTAATAAAATAATAAACGTACGTGACATCGTTCCACGTTTAGAAACAGAGTCGAAAATTGAAGCGCGCCCAGGGTTTTTTTCTTTCTTTTTTATTCCCGACAGAAGCCGAAGGTCAAGGCGTTAACAATTTGTAACGAGCTAGTGTTAATCATGTTTACACTTCGAAGCAGATTACAAATTAAGATTCGGCAGCATGGAATGTGCAAAAAATTGGAACTGTTAGGTTGGGACGTTTGTATATAAAAAGTATTTATTTTTTGGGTACTTCCAAGTTTTGCACAAGTATTTGTTATTTTCTAAATTGGCAATAGTCCTTGACATCGTTTCTGTGTTCTATCTGATTTTTTTTTGTGACAAGACAGTTGCGTAGTAAATAGTAGGACAATCGTTGTTCTCTTCTTCAAAATGAACAAATTGGTTGTTAACCCCAGATTATTAAATTGACACATTTGTGCGGTTAAATCTTTCGCTTGTGCCAGTTTACTGAGGTCATTATTATTAAGGCTTTTCAAATGCTTTAATTGACTATTTATTTATTAGTGAAATAGGAAAATGAAGAGGAAATATAAGCGTGCGGATATTTGCTTATTTATTTAACGAATGTAGACGTAATTTTTAACAGTAAACGATGTTTTTTCGCATTTTGACTACTAAATTCAAAATAGTTTACTAAAGTGGCACTTCCCCACATGAAATGTCACTTTACTATACAGGATGTTAATGATAAGTCTTGCCAAACTTCAATGGCGTATTCTACCGATGAAACTAATCAAATTTTGCCCTATAAAATTTGTGATAGGATACTTTTCCTGTAACTTCACTGCAAAAAATATTTAGTAATAAAATTTGGGGGATGACATTTTTTTAAGTAGGGACTATTTTTTCATGGATAACTTATTCCAAAATACACTCCAGTGGCTTAGTTATTGGGGGAGTAGGGGTCC